AACACTGTTACGCTGCGACGCGCCTGGCATACATCTACCTTGGCCTGCGGCGCTGACACCCGGGTCGGGTGGTGCAAAAATGTACACAAAGAAACGGGCCTCCGGCCCGTGAACGGCCCGTCGCCTCCATTAAGCATGCAGGGTTGTACATTTTTAGCCCGCCCTTCTGCTTTTAAAAATGCATTAAAGCGGGCTTATGCAACCGCCCTCGTGTCTGTCTGTCTGTCGACCGTCCGTGTAAGAGGAAGGAGATGAGCTAGAGGTCTACAAATTTCAGGGTATCTTAGAGGTCACTTCTGGACAACGAAACGCCTGGTGCAAATCCTGGCAACCATCCCTAAGGGGGTGAAAGGGGGTAACAAAGAAATTGGGGTTGGTCCAAAAAGTTGGAAAAAAATATTTTTTAACGGTCTCCTAAGAGGTAACTCGTAAAGAAGAGTCCTTTGGGGGAAAATTTTGTCCGTTTGACTCTATCTTGCACCGTTTGGGCGCTAGAGTGCCTTTTTCGACGAAAATACGGCGAAAATGACGTGTTCTGGGTCGGTTTCGAGGGGCTCGTCCTTACCCCCTCCCCCTCCCGGTCTCCCCGCTCTCGCACCTCCTTCTCTCTCACTCTCCCTCAATCCGCCGAGCGCATAGGGTTGTCGGTGAGCCTGTCGGGTAGGCAGCCCATGTTGCAATGTGGACGACGGGGTGGCCTGCCGCTAGGGGGTCCTTCCCCGAGATGTCCGTGAATAATTTTTTTAGTCCGCCCTTCTGCTTTGAAAACGCTATTATCGAGCGGGCTTATGGAAACGACCTCGCCGGGGAACGGGGTCAGATGGGTAGCGTTGACGATGGTCACCGAGTCCCAGTATTGTCAACAATACTGAGCCATGGCCCAGAATTGTCAAGGGCGGCGGGCCTGCTCGTTTCCATTGTCGTCGCGCGGTGTGAGCGGGAAGGGTGTGGTGCGGGGGTGGGGGCGGTAGGATCGGAGGAGTGTGGCCGAGCCAAGCAGGCGAGCGGCAACAATACCCGTTCAGTCTTGCGCCGTCTTCCGTAGTGGCGCCGCGTCAATTCTGAGTGATTTTCCTTGTGTCCTAGTGCCTTGCGATGACGCCGCGCGAGAAGTCGCACTTGAAGAAAGTCAAGGGCCGGGGCCCTCCGTCTCATCGTCTGCGTGCCATCCGGAACGCTGACAAGCGCAGAGTCCACAACGCTTCGATCAAGTACGGTGTGAGTGCCTCACACCTCAAGGTAAATCAGAGACCAACTAGCAGTATTTTTTGCATGTTAAAAACTGAAACGTTAATTCATCAAAAGATAGGAGGGAAAGAAGGCGGGAAGGGCAGAAAAGGAGAGGGAGAGAGGCAGGGATTGATCATGACTGACTTGGCCGTCCCCCTCCCGGTGGCAAAGGTCGGGTGAGAGAGGAGGCCAAAAAGATAAGTCGTGTGTATTAAATTAGGTTTCGTTAGTTATGGCTTGCCCTTGCTATAAACACTACATTCTGATGTCATTTCGCAATCGTAATGCAGGGTCATATCATTTTGTAACGAGTGTATTCGATTAAAAAGATTTTCGTGTCGTCCTTTCTCTGTGTGTGTAGTCGTGTTCGGTTCGCGTCGTGAAGTGGGCCGGCGGCCGAGTGCGACCTGTCCGCTGTGTGACACCTCAGCCATCTGTGAGCGTTGAAGAGACGTCGGAGGTATTTATCCGTGCCGTGTGCCTTTGTGTTCCCTTTTCCTCGTTTTGTGTCTGTTTCTGTTAATAGACGTCGTTCCGTCTCTCGCCAGGATGTCGAGCTCGCCCCTCGCTACCAGACGCTGCAGATCGGTGGCCAAGAGCGTCGTGTCCTGCGCCCCCGCGTGTTGTCTCTGTTTGACGGTCAAAATAAAAGGTTAGCAACAAAGCAACTTATATTTCCCCCTTTTTTTACAGAGATGACCGCCATCTGCCAGAGGGTTCTGGAACATGTTATTCAAATAGATTACCACCAAGACAAGAACTGTCACGTCAACTGCAGCTTGTGCTACACTCCGTTCATCGTTCCCTGTAAAATTCAATGACAGTCGGTTCGTGTTTCCGTCACTCGTGTCCTGCCGTTGTAACCAGGTTTCTCAAGCGGGCTGCAGGCGCTGCGCAACGTGGGTGTGTTGCCCGAAGAGTACTTCGCGTGCGAGAAAGACCCTTGGTGCAAGAAAGTTTCCCGCTATCACTACGGCGAGTCCGTGTTTCAGCTGGGTGAGGTCCGTGATGTGGACGCGGGCGTCGTCACGTCTTTGGGTCGGGTCGACCTTCTGATCGGCGGGAGGTAG